CTTCCTTCCTTCCTTCCTTCCTTCCTTCCTTCCTTCCTTCCTTCCTTCCTTCCTTCCTTCCTTCCTTCGTGGTTAGAATGCAGTGTTGCAGGCTGATTCTGACCACTGCCAGCAGTTTGATCCTCACTGGCTCAGGGTTGACTCAGCCTTCCATCCTTCCGAGGTGGGTAAAATGAGGACCCAGATTGTTGTTGGGGGCAATATGCTGACTCTGTAACCGCTTAGGGAGGGCTGAAAGCCCTATGAAGTGGTATATAAGTCTAACTGCTATTGCTATTGCTATTGCTATTGCTATCATAATTCCCTGCACTGAGGTGCCATATCAAGTCAATGGGATTGCATACATGAATCAAACTCAACCCCCACAGTTCCTTGCAGGAACTCAAGAAATTGCTCATACTTTCTCTTGGCCAACCATGGCTCTTACATTTGGGAAAGATTTCCTAATATTCAATCCACTCCTGCAACTTGAATAGGTTCTTCCATGTCTACACAATGAAAGGAAAGGAACCAGTTCTTGGCCTTCTTCTAAATGTCCCCCTTTTTGGGTACCAAAGTGATCCTTGCCCCCTTCCCCTCCAGTCCTTTGTCAAACAAAACATTCACACCACCTTCACTCTCTTAATTTAAGACTTGTGAGCATTCTCTTTTCCGTCTCTTTCTCTGAAGCCTCCTAAAAGTATACTAATCTTCTGAGAGAGTACTTTTGGCCTTTGACCTTTCAGGTTTGGTCTAAAGCAGGAAGTAGATCAGGTGGAATTGAGATCATGTCTGCTGGATCGATCATCTGTGATGCACGAATAAGCTCTTCCTAGTAACGCCTAATGCATTCTGCAGTGCAATAAAACAGACGGTGGGGTTATACAAAATGTAGGCGCTGCCGAGATGTGGAAAACATTATGGAAGGAAAGTAAACCTGAGCCTAAGATGTGGGAAAGATCCAGCTTTTGATTATGTGTCATGGAATCATTGATAAAAGAAATGGGTAGCACTAACACACTGTTTCCTTTTGTTCCAGGTCTTTGGCACTTGCGAAATAATAATGAAATTCAACAGGGTAACGAATGATTCCACCTTATACAAAAATGACTGCAGTTTACACACTCGTACGTATTTATCATGTTCGCTGCATGGAGGCTTGCCAAAAATAACTATCCAGAGCACGTGTATTTTGCAATTGCAGTTTCACAGATATCCCCAACCAGGCGTGGGTTACTGCCGGTTTTACTACGGGTTCGCAACGCCCGCGCTGCACAAGCCTGCACTGTTCAATGTAAATTGTTCTTCACCCATTCACAGAACAATTTACAGTGGACTGTGCATGCGCAGTCATTAAAAACTAAAATGGAAGTGGCCCAGCAGTGGCTAGGGAACTGGTTTGGGGGTCTGGCAGGTCTGGGTCGCTGTTGGTTCTGCGACCCAGGCCTGAATTGGGTCGAACTGGGCCGAACCGGGAGCAACCCACCGCTGTCCCCAACGAAGTTTAAAAAATAGATTCAGAAGCCCCAACATTAAATTTTAAAGCCTTGTTCCATTGTTCCAGGTATCTTAGGGTGGCCTTGTAATTTCAGTTTGCTCTATTTTTCAACCATAGATGCAGTTTGGCCAAATTTCCTTTTCTGTAAATGTTGTTGCAATTTTATATATTTTTCACACACTTTTTTCTGTGTTCATTTTTCCCCAGCATTTTTACAACTATAAGATATTATTTTCTACTAACTACACCTGCATTTCCATGCAGGTTTTGTACTATACAATTAAAATAGAATAAAAACTCCTAAAGGTATAGGTAAAGGTTCCCCTTGCGAATATGTGCTAGTCATTCCCGACTCTAGGGGGCGGTGCTCATATCCGTTTCAAAGCTGAAGAGCCAGCACTGTCCTAAGACGTCTCCGTGGTCATGTGGCTGGTATGACTCAATGCCGAAGGTGCACGGAATGCTGTTACCTTCCCACCAAAGGTGGTCCCTATTTTTCTATTTTCTATTTGCATTTTACATGCTTTCGAAGTGCTTCTACTACTGGGACCAGTAACGGGAGCTCACTGCATTAGATGGTGCTAGGGATTCTAACCGCCGAACTGCGATTTGAACCAATCGACAAGTTCAGCGTCTTCGCCACTGAGCCACGGTGTCCCCTAAAAACTCCTACTCAGACCCAAATGACATTTTCCAGCCAATTCATAATGTATTGTGTGATTGTTAGCATAGAAGAGGTACAGCAAAAGATGTTGTTGAAAGGTATATTACTGTGTTTCCCCGAAAATAAGAAGGGTCTTATTTCCTTTT